TTTTTTTTTTCAACAAATGCACACAGAACATGCTTATTTTTACACACAAAGGCAATAATTTAACAAGAAAAAAATGATTAACAATAATAAGGACCTAGCATAACAGAAGCCAGCCATGGGGAACCACAAACCAGTGTACTCTCAATGCTGGTCCCAGGCCTGGAGAAACTGGGAGGTTTGCATCAGAAAGGGCAAATCAAACAGGATCCATCTGGCCCAGATTAGCAACGAACACCTGCAGTGGTTTGGGCCAACACGTCGCCAGCTGATACTGTGTTACTGTCTTAATTGGAGTTGTAATTGGAGCACACTTCAGTTGGTATAAAGGTGAACAGAGCGAAGGTGACGACGAGGTGTTGAGTAGGTTTGGCATTAGGAGAAGGAATGTGGAAGGATGGATGGTAGTGGACTTCCTGACAAGGATTGAAAGGGCTGTGCTGAACTCATAAGCTGTGTCCCAAAACGTCGGCTGCATCCTCCGGAGTCCGCATTTGAAGGTCAATTACGTCACAGCCAGGCGACGAAGGCTGTCCCAATTCGTCGACTCCTTCAAATGCGGCAGACAAATGCGTCCTTCATTTCCCCGAATTTGAAGGATGGGTCGGGTGTGTCCTTCGTGGCCCACCATATCCCAGAATTCATAGCGAGGCCCAGCCAAATTTCAGCTGACAACAATGGCGGCCGCTACTAAGTTTTAAAATTACCCTTATTAATCTTTCTGGGCCACAAAATAAACTTTTAACATATTTTAAGGCGAGAAAGTAGCGGTGTAAATTACAAATATCTGCTTGGTTTATCAAGACATCGCATGTTTGCAAAAGTGTGCCGACGTTTTCGGAGACGTCTGTTACCCACCAGCTCGATAGCTAGCCGGGGGGTTCAATGGTCACTCCAGCCGGCGAGAGCAGCGGACTCCCGGCTTCATCGTTTTCAGACCCGCTCTTTCGCTATTCAGGTTAAACATGATATAAGTCACTCGGATAACTTAAAAATGTAATTGTTTGCCTTTTTTCAGTGTTTTATTTGTTCCGGAGTAAATCGGTTTGGCTGAGATCAAAGTTATTAGATTATTAGATTAAATAAAAGTTTATTAATCCCCCGGGTGGGTTCCTCCTTGGTTTTCACACAGCTGAATAAACGTCAAACAGAAAACTGATTAAACAGAAGTGTGAGACGGTCGAGAATTTACGCCAGTGTCCTGTTATATTTTAGATAGCAAGGAGCAGACGGCCGAGTTTATTAAACTCCACCGAGACAGCGGTGACGCTAATCTGAAGGCTAGACCGTCCAATTTCACAGCCTCGCACTTCTCGGTCTTTGAAGGACCCGGCCCACGTAGACCGCGAAGGCCGGGTCCTCCGAAGGATGCAGCCGACGTTTTGGGACACAGCTACAGAGTGAACTATAAGAGAGGAGGAAGGTGCCCACAGGTGTACTACATCCTGTGCAGAAGGTGCAGGAGACTGCAAGGTGCTATCAGCACAGTCTTTAGCGTACCTTTAGGATTAAAGAAGAAGAAGTGAGGGCAAAGATTAAATGTTGCTGGACAAGCTGACAGATGAGGTCAGGCAGGAGACTCTTTGTGATAATGATGTTATTAGACAACACTGATCTGCAGTGAGAGTAGGGAGCAGGTGGGGAAACCTGGAAATGTGGAGGTATGCTCTGTGGAGAAGGGGAACGTATGTCGGGAGCAGGAGACAGGATATATATGTGTGAATGGGAAGGCAACAGGTGTAACGGTGAAGATGCAAGAAGCAGAGGTGATGAAGGTGGAGGAAGAGTACAAGGAGAGCTTCACAACATGCTAGTGAGATCAACGTCTGGTTTAGACAGAGTTGCACAACAAAACGATGGGAGATGCTAACATTGTCTTTGGGAGTAATAAGGGACGCAATTAGAAATGAGGCTGTCAGCTCAGGCTGGATATTTGAAGAGGAGGGGTGGTGGGTGTGTTGTACACAGGATGGATGCTTACATTCAGAATGCTTATAAAGTGGAGTTATTATGAGGAAGAGGAATTCATTGCTGAGGATTTTATTTTATTTCTGATTTGGGCGTCTGACAGCCTCATTCTAAATCTGTGAATCCAGCCTGTCGAGTTCTCACATCACATCATCAGTAGTTGTCTGCCATAGTGGATGTGACACTAATACTGGTTACTGCTTGGCAGTGGTCTCTGGAGGGGGAAAGCGGTTGCAAGGTGCTGCAGTAAAACCCTCCGAGGTATTGTTCTGATTGCTGGCTCATCCCCCATAGTTGCATGTTTGTCTGCAAACACTTGCTGAGCAGCAATGCAACTGAAAGCGTGTGACACAGACTGGAGATGGAG